TGATAGAGAGAGAGAGACGAGAGTAGAAGAGAGAGAGAGAGAAGAGGAGAAGTACGGCGTTCACAAAGAGCAGAGAGAGAGTCAGAGACAGCAGAGCGCGGGTGGAGGGCGTGCGGGTAGAGAGACACACAGAGAGAGAAAGAGAAATGAGCAGCGAGCGAGAGAATGGGGGGTTAGAGAACCGCCGCGCTAGCGAGAAGAAAGAGGGCGGCGAGAGTGAGTTAGAGAGATGCGATAGATTAAGAGAGAAACGAGAGGGCAGCGAGAATGCCGCCGCGAAGAGAAGGGCGAGCGAGAGAGATGATGGAGAGTGAGAGTTCAAGGAAAGCGAGAGGAAGGCGATGAGCGAGCGAAAGATAGATAAAAAGAGAAAGAGAAAGAGAGAGTATGCGTTCCGAAAAAGAGGATGAGAGCAAGAGAGAGAGAGTAGGAGAGAGAGAGAGAGAGAGAGCGAGAAGAGAGATGAGCGAGAGAGCGAGAGAGAGAGAGAGAGAGCGAGAGAGCGCAGAGAGCGAGAGAGAGAGAGCGAGAGAGAGAGAGAGAGAGAGAGAAGGCGAGAGAGAGAGAGAGAGACGAGAGAGAGATGAAATGCGACGAGAGAGAGAGGCGAGAGAAAGAGATAGAAGGCGAGAGCGAGCCAATATAGATGAAAGAGTGACAGTGAGAGAGAGGGGTGAGAGCGAGAGAGAAGGGGAGAGAGAAACGGCCGGTGTGAAGAGGGCGAGAGCGAGATAGATAGGTGAAGCGACGAGAGGCAGCGCAAGCAGGAGAGCGGGAGGCGAGGTATGAGAGTGTGGCGCCGAGAGAAGACGAACGAAGAGAGAGGAGGGGGTGAGACTGGACAGAAAGAGAGAAAGACGAGTAGGCCAACATAGATGAGAGTAAACAACGAGAATGGAAGAGAAAATGGGGCGAGAGAGAGAGAGAGAAGAGAGAGAGAGAGAGAGGAGAGAGAGAGAGAGAGAGAGAGAGGCAATAAAGAAAGAATTTTATCATTTAATATAGTTTGCTATAGACTAATAGTGGCAATTTAAATCACTAGGTTACGCGTGAGTTTGTATTTAGTACAGATGGAGTAATATGAGTCACTTTAGTAAGATACATTATAAAGGCAATTCCTTGATATTTATTTATTTTGGCGTTGCGTCCAGTCTGTGTATCCGTTAGTCTGTGGTAGTATCTATGATCGACGCTAGATGGCAGTAGCGATCAGTGTGAGTGCAATGGCCGAATGTTGACGTGAAATTCGGCATGTTCATAGTGCGTTTGCGGAATATGCCCAAGGTCAACGTTGGTTCAGGTTATTGACAGTGGAGACGAATTTATATCACTGCGTAAGTGGCCCGGGCAAAGTCGAGGAGAAATGTGACGGCCGCAGGAAATGAATGGTAACTGAAATCGCGTGAAATACGCGAGCCGTGAAATCGTGAGAAATCGTCAAAACAAGGTGAGGTCGCTGGCTTAAACGTATTGTCCCGCCTTTGCGACAACAAATGACCTCTTTCTTGCTAGAAGTTAGTTGACAACACTCTCAAGAAGACCTTTGTAAGTTTTTAAAGTGCAAATACAGTTTATGACATCGACTATGGCGGCGCAGTTTTACACTACCGCCATCTAGCGCCCGATCTAAGAAACTATGGGAATGTATCGGAGCGTATCGTATTGATGACTAAGCCCCACGCCTATTATCTACGCCAGTATATACTGCGCCTATAGGCGATCTGCACGCATAAAGTGTATTCAGCTTAATAACGATTAATAATAATTATTATTCGGCTTAATTACTATATGTACATTAACCTACACGTGTTTACGTTCATCTGTGTGCGTGACAGGTTTAGTAAAGCATATTTAGTATGTTAATCGACCGCCGGTCAAACGCGGGGCTCATAAAATGAGCCTCACGAATAGCGCTATATGGCGGCGTACGTCATAAAGTGTATTCGGTTAAGTATTTCGCTAACGATTGAGGTGTCAATAAAATTTACTATATCTACATTAACCTACACCTGTTTACGTTTATCTGTGAGCTTGATAGCGTTAGTAAATTATATTTAGTATGTAAACGAGTCGTCTTTATATCGACTCGCACAGCTGTTTGTATGTTTATCGATTGTTTTTTGGCAGTACCAATGTTTTAATAAACCATGTGTCTTACTTTCCACTAAGCTGAGAAAAATTGCTTTTTCCGCGGTTTCTCCTTGGTGTCTCCCATTTTATTTGCAATGAAATATTGCTTCAATCGTTCGACACAGTCGTCCCAGTCATCAACTTCAGTTAATTCACTGATCGACCCGAATGCCACCATTTTGCTGCCAAACAACCATTTTCTCTAGCTTGGTAGTCTTACATGTTTCGTCGAATTCACTATAAACAACTGTAAGATGTAGTTGTGCCACTCATCAGTATCAGAATCCCATCCTCGTCCTCTCTGTTGTGTTTGTACCTCTCTATTTTTTAATGTGAAACACTCGTATACAACTAGTGAATGTACATGTACGATCTATATTCTATCTTTCAGACCGAGGCTCCGCTGGTGGGAAGTTATCCTTATACATACCAGCAGGTGCGTGCTACATCACAGCGTACAGACAAAAAATACTCAACTGGGCTTAGTGTGTTATGTCACGCAGCAGACAGCAATGATGGCTATACAACAGCATTGTCAGTGGCAGGGGAAAAAATACACGGGGGCGGCGGGCGATTTCGCCCCCGAAATGCCAAAAAGAGCCCCCGAAAATACGATATCG